GGTTTGGGGTTTGGGGTTTAGGGAGTGTGGACTCAGAAAGACCTATGCCCTAGAACCGGATCCTGATTGTAACTGTTGTTATTGCGTTTGTTTTTGCTGTCAATACTGCTAGTAGTATTATTATTATTGATATTATTAGTATTGTTATGGGGATGTTGTTTAATGGGGATGTTGTTTAACTTTGACACTCGCACGCCACAGTTTGGACTCGGGTTTGGGCTTGGAGACAGCACTAAAGGGCACGTTAGGTTTGACGATAGAGGGTTTAGCGTTTATATATATATATATGCTGCACTGTATTTTTGCAGAAGTTCACCGGTACCTAGAAGACGAGAGTTGCAGTAAATCCTGACCTCAAGTCATGAGCCTTCATGTTAGCCACATGTTTTTGGATCTGCTAGCTCCACATCCTATTCGAGCAGTCGTTTGTCCCTAAACCCTAAACCCCGCTTGTCGATGATTCTTGGGCTGCCCCAGCAGGAAGGAACGGAGTCAGCTCTTGGGGACTGGGTTTAGGCCTGGGATTTGGGGACAAGATCCGGGCGCATGGATGCAGGTATAGATGGTCGTATCGCTGATTACACCCCCCCCTTTTTTGTTCAATAGCCAGCTCTTTAGCCGCCTTGCTTCAAGGCTTATGATGCAAATCCTTATCGTCTGGATGTTAGACCTAAACCCTAAACCCCTAAACCCTAAACCCTAAACCCTAAACCCTAAACCCTAAACCCTAAACCCTAAACCCTAAACCCTAAACCCTAAACCCTAAGAGAAGGGAAGGATCCTGATAAACCCTCAACCCTAAACTGTGAATGTTGAGGGGCTCAGCTCGCGCGGGTTCATGGGATGACTGCTTCTTCGACGGCTTAAAAAAAGGAGGCACAAAGACTTAGGGTGCTTTTCAGGGTTTAGGGTTATACTAAGAACCTCCACGGTATTCGGTGTTACTTGTAAGATTTGTGCATTTGGTCTGGAGATTCGGTTTCGGATTGCTCTCGGGGGTATGTCCTTCGTCCTGCATTGCAATGCCTTGGATCAGACATTTCTTAACCCAACCTACTACGGCTTAAGGGCTTAGGGTTTACCTGAACCCAATAATCCAGCCAAAGCCCTAAACCCTCAACCCGAAACCCAAAGCCCTAAACCGTGATACAAGATCCAGCGTGGGTTCGGGTCCCCAAGCGAGATGTCGCTGCAAGAGCCCGAGACCCTAAACCTAAACCCTGGGAGACCTCAAAAGGTGTGGTGAAGGCTTTGGGGTTTTTGGGGTTTTTAGGGTTTAGGGTTTAGGGTTTAGGGGTTTTGGGGTTTGGGGGTTTTAGGGTTAGAGTTTTAGGATGAAGGGGTTTAAGGGTTTAGGGTGTAGGGGTTTAGGGGTTTAGGGTTTGGGGTTTTGGGGTTTTGGGTTTAGGATGTAGGGGTTTAGGGCTTAGGGTTATGAAGGTAGGTTCTGGGAATACCCCACCTACCTTCATCTCGAAACCCGTAGCCCTAAATCCCTAACCGTAGACTTAACCACAACTTAACCCTAATTTAATGTCATGTTATGATTAGGTACTGAGCCCTATAAGCTCTAAACTCTAAATCCTGAGCCCCCAAAAACCCTAAACTTAAACCGCCAAAGCTTAAACCCCAAACTGAACCCCAGGCGCCTTGGGGGGAGGACCAGTCGGAGGCAGCGGCGGGCTCTTCGGCTGCCTAAGCGTTCCGGTTTTGGAGTGACTCGCCACCCTAATGTAGGGTCCTTAACAATTAGAATAGGGTTTGGGGGTCCTTTATAGTATAATTATACTCAAGAACACCCAAAAGAGTACAGGTAATTTTTGAGGCTCTGAAATTAAACCCGGGTTTAGGGTCTAGCAGCTCCGCGCGTTTGGGCTTGAGGGTTTAAGACTTTAAGCGTCTGGGGTGCACTATAGTGCACCCTAGTATTCCACTATCTACGATAGTAGGCTGGCAAAATAGACTCTAGCGAGTCTAGTATGCACCTAGATACTGTTTTATATACATATCCATGTGTATATATATATATATATATATATTAAGATAAAGTAATAATAACTGACAGCAGAACTAGAATGGGCTATACAATCTTGCTGTTCACAATAAAGCTCTACCATAAGAACCCCAAACCTACTTTTTTGTAGGTTCCCTATAAACCCCATATTTGGGTTTATAATAAGAACCTGCAAAAAAGTGGGTTTTGGGTTCTTAAGGTACCATAAACCGCGTTAGGGTTTATAGTCTCAGGCGGGGAGTTCCCTGAGGCTCATAAGGCCCTCATTTCAGGTTTAGGGTTTAGGGTTTAGGGTTTAGGGTTTAGGGTTTAGGGTTTAGGGTTTAGGGTTTAGGGTTCAGGTTTGTGGGGCCAGATACCATAAAATCGGGGCCTTAATGATTAGAATAGGGTTTTTTGGGGCCCTTTATACTATAAATCGGATGAGGAACCCCCAAAACAGTATTGGTAATTCATTAGGCCCCTTCCTAAACCCTAACCCTAAACCTTCTTTAGGTCCCTTCGTTACTGTGATGTGGTATTACTTAGGCCGAGGTTCGAGGGTCTAGGGTTGAAGTGGTAGGAAATCTCAAACCCTTCAGGGTTTGGGGGTTTAGGGTTTAGAGTTTTTGGGGCTGGCATTTTGGGGGTTCGGTGGATGGTTGCGGGGTGCTTCGGGGTGAAGGAACCGCGTCCTAACCGGAACGCAAGCATGGAGCTTGAGGCTATGATAGTGAAGGTCAGGGAAAAGGGTTTACGGGTTTGGGATTATGGGTTTAGGCTTTAGAGTTTAGGGCTTAGGGCTTAGAGGTTAGGGGTTAGGGGTTTGGGGGGCACGGGCCGGGTTAGGGGTTAAAGGCTTGGGGTTTCAGGTTTGCCAGCCCTGCAAAAAAACCGGCTACAAAATTGTTGAATTTCGCGGTATTCCTTCATGGAAGCTTTGGACGTAAGCGTACGTGCTGAGTAAACCCTCTAAACCCTTTAAACCCTAAACCCTCACCCGCACGATCCTGTACGCAGCCTTTTAGCGGCCTGCGACTTCGCAAGGTCTGTACACTGCACAAAGAGCGCCCAAGCCCGCAAACGGAAAGGTCTCGGTTAAGGATTTTAGGGTCTATGGGCTTTAGGGTTTGGGGTTTACGGTTTAGGGGTTTAGGGTTTAGGGCTCAGGGTTTAGGGTCTATGGGTTTAGGGTTTACGGCTTTGGGTGTAGGATTTAGGGTTTAGGGTTTACGGGATTAGGGTTTGCTAAGGGGTGTTCTTAAGTACTACTCATGCGCTTCACCGTATTCAACCAGGTAGCCCGCCAAGCCTAAAACCTAAGCCCAAAACCCGCAACCTAAACCCTGAACCCTACAAGATCAGGCAATATCCTGAGACCACTAAACCCTTAGCAAGGTCAACCCTGAACCCTAAACCCTAACAGAAGCACCTTGATGTCTGACAGTAGGGTTTGGGGATATACTATGGTACAGTTAACGCAAGGAAACCTAAGGAACGATCTGCGAAATTGTTCCGGCGTCCATAGTCCATGCTCTTAAACAAAGGAAACGGCCAACACAAATAGAACCATACCCCGACAGAGAAAACCCTCCCTAAAGCGTCAAACTCTACCCTGAGCCCTGCATTGCGTAGGCCCCACATGCGAGACACTGCAACCTAAACCCTGCAGCCCGAAATCCACATGCTTAAGACCTAAGCGGCTCGGATGGCTGAGAGCATGGGGATTAGAGCAGTTCAGGGTACACTGCAAGGTTTAGAGTTTAAGTTTAGGCTTTACGGCTTGCAAGCTAAAGTCTCCTATTTCCAGCCTACCGGGCCCAAAACCGTACTTTGCAATAACTTGAGCCCTCAGGCAAACCATACGCTATCGAGACCCTATAAAACAGCACACATTTAAAAACCCCAAGGAACCTTTCTGGAACAGCAAAAAGCAACACCTAAATCAAAAATCTGTTGAAACAGATAAGACTAAAACACCAAGACACGAGACACGAACATTGAATCACACAATCTTTCAAAAATAGCAAACCCTAAACCCTAAAGCCTAAACCCTAAACCCTAAACCTCAAAGCCTAAACTCCAAACCCTAAACCTCAAAGCCTAAACCCTAAACCCTGAACCCTAAACCCTAAAGCATAAACCCTAAACCCTAAACCCTAAAGCATAAAGCCTAAACCCTAAACCTCAAAGCCTAAACCCTAAACCTCAAAGCCTAAACCCTAAACCCTAAACCTCAAAGCCTAAACGCTAAACCCTGAACCCTAGACCCTACAGCCTAAACCCTAAACCCAAAGGCCGAAAGCCTAGAGCCTAAACCCTGAACCATAAACCTCAAAGCCTAAACCCTAAACCCTAAACCCTAAACCCTACTAAGGCCAAAGCCTTAGAACGCAAAGCTCCTCTGGGACTCAGCTCGACTCTGCGAGGATCGCGTGAAGAGACCACGGGTCAGGGGATGCTCTGAACTCTCTTCGAAACCCCAATGAAGGGGTTTAGGGTTTAGGGTTTAGGGTGTAGGGTCTAGGGTCTAGGGTTTAGGGTTTAGGGCTTAGGGTTTAGGGTTTAGCGTTTCGGGTTACCCTAAACCCTCAAAGGAACCGACCTACCTGTTGAGGGCTCCTTATTAAGAGCTTTGTATATAAGGTAGGTTATTTGGGGTTAAGGTAATCCTCTAGGCAGTTAGCAGTTCAGAACAGCCCCTCTCGAAGAAGCGATAGAGAGGCTGGCTTACTGCCAGGCGACGGCAGTTTCTGATTTTCTGTATTAACAAATATATTTGAATATTAGAATTCTTTGGGGACTGGTTATTGACTAACGATTCTGTTTTAAATTAAGTAATGCTCGATGCGACCCAACTAGCTTGAAGACATTACGCAACTTTAGGGTATAGGGCTTCTAAGTCCAGGAGTGTTGGATTTTAAAAGGTTCGGGCGTAGGGTTTACGGCTTAGGGTGTAGGGCTTCGGGCTTAGGGCCCAATCTTTATTAGAAGGCTACTAAATACTATAAGATAATATAACATACTCCAGTACACTATTATATGCTGAAACGTACTTCAAGATACTACAAGGCTACATACCCAATCAAGGCCGGCTTTCCATGGCGCAGCCTCCCAGCTCATGGAGAGGTAGGTGGCCCGTGGGTGCCACGGAGCGACTTCCAAAAAAGAGTGCATATAGTTTAAGATAGTAGAGTTTAGTATACTATCGTATATAGTATACTACAGAAGAAACGGATATTAAGTATAGTGTATTATAACAAGTGATAGCATAGAGAGTATAGTCAGTATAGTATAGTATTCTTACCCAGAGGGCTCTCTTTGATTCGCCACGCTTGGACCGATGGTAGAAACAAGATCAAGGATCCAGCAGGGGTTGAAACAGGGCTTAACCCTGAACCACGAACAAGACCCTGAGCACGAAACCCTGAACCGAAGGGTCCTAGGTTTGTATCAGAGCTAGACCCTGGAATGTAGGATAAACTGTGTTGTGGTTAGGATCCTACAATAAGAGACTCAGGTGACAAACAAAACACTGCATTCGGGCGTCTAAACCTCTAAACCCGAAGCCCTAAACCCTAAGCCTTAATCACTCAAGCTCACGCAGAGTTAGGGCTGAGGGCTTAAAGTCTAAATGTTATGGTTTAGGGTCATACACCCCTAAACCCTAAATCCTAAACCCTAAACCCTAACCCCTGCACCCGAAACCCGAAATCCTATACAACACCAAAGCGTCCGATCAAAAAAACGGGTGAAGGCTCCCGGTCTTCAGGCTTAGGGGTTTCAGGGTTCAGGGTTCAGGGTTTAGGGTTTCAGGGTTTAGGGTTCAGTGTTTAGGGTTTGGGTTTCAGGGTTCAGGGT